AATCATGAGGCCACTAAATTTAAATAAATGAGTGAGCATCTAAATCTGGATGGCTATCAAGATATTCCTTTTTATCAGAGGAGGGGAGTTTGAGGCCAAAACCCTGGCCCAGATTTTATATGCAGCACAGACTGGGCTTTTCTTTATGAAAATCCCCTTAGAAATCTTACAAACTAAATTTATCAGGCCCATCCTTTCTGCTTCTAAGCATCTGCAATGCAGTTCTCAGGCTTGAGGCAGGGATGCCATGACTGAATATGAAGGTTAGTAATATTGTACTGGGACTTCTGGGCGAGAAATGGCAGATTGAATACGGCTCTGTTTTTTGTGGAGCCGACACCCGTAGTAATTAGGAGAGCTGGCAATCAGATCAGCTCTTTCGAATCACCTCCAGATGAAGATGATGACAGGATCAAGCATAGGCACTCCTTACAGAGGCTCCCTGTGAAGAGACTGCAATCTAGCAATCAATTTCCAGCAGGTGGAGCACTCTGGGAGTTAAGGGAAAAACATCGAGCCCAAGCTGCAGTATGGAGCCCTTGAAAGGACACTATATTTGCTTTTACTTCCTTTTTAATTAACATCAGAAACTGCCTGTTCATGATTTACTTGGCAAAATTCACTCCAGCCTCCACTGTAGACTCACCCATGCCAAATCAAGACTCTGAGTGATTTTATTAGTAAAATGTTATGCATAAAAGTCACAGCTGCCAGGTGGGAGATCTACCAGCATTTTTTATCCAAAAGGGAATTCACCACCCAAAACAAGGCAGCTGGCCAACAGCCCACCAATGCAATAGGGGTCAGGAAAGAATATCATATGGGTTACATGTATTGATGTAATAAGCAGTCACTGACATTATATTCCCCACTCTAGATTGGATTTTTAAAATAATCTCAACTGCTGACACTTTAACTTTCAAATTCACCATGAAATGATGTTCTTTCCTCATTACTTTCCATCCTTTAAATGGAAGGATGATAATGCAAATGTTTGATAAAAATATAAAAGCTTTGCATCTGGTCATCTGTACTCCAGGAAAATGAAAGAAATGAGAGTAACTAAAATTGAAAGGTTCTAGAAGCAAAACAGTGATAGTAATATAATTATCATTAGATCAAGTTAAGTTAATGCAATACAGATCCCAAATGATTAAGAACAAAAACTTCAAGTTAAAAAATTCTGAACACATCAAACCTTGGCTGAAATGTGCACCATACAAAATTTAACATATCAAGAGTAAATACTACACCAATTAACATGCCACCAATACCATGAAATTTGCAGAGAGCAAACTGATAGTGACTGGAAGTCATGGCTTGGCAAAATTAGCTGTACCTAGTTAAAGGGGAAAGAACAGTCTTTATTAAATTTGATTTCCAATTATTTTATATTTATTTTTATCTAACTTACAAAAGTTATTATACAAATTCAGTGATTCTATTATTTACTAGCTTATTTATTAGGATTTGTATTCTACTATGCTCCTAAGTGGCTTACATGAAATAGTAAAAATATAAATGACAATAACAGCATTAAAACCATAGAAATAATAATAAATACTAAATATAACATCACATAAATAAGGGTTAAAACAAATCCCATCCATTGCTCTTGATATTGCAAAGCAATTTATAGGAATTACATGACTGCCCTGTCACATCATTTATATGTACAAAGAACACACTTAGAGGAAAAATTACAAACTGTACACATACTGTAAACAATATGGAATTCTGTTAGTATTATAAAGTATTATGAAGTATTAAGGTTACAATTTCTGAATGAAGTCACATAAATATGCCTATAGTATAATAATCCAGTAATATACCAATTCTACATAAGAGTATTAAACTCAGTTTCAAATTAATTTTCTAGATGTAATTAAAAACCTTTGCAAAAGTGGCCTTATGTGATTCTTAGTAGTTTAGAATATTTCATCCTTATTACAGACAAAGAGCTCCTTGTGGTACAGGCTAAACTGAATAACAAAGCCAAAGATAAGGGGATCTTCCACTGGGGAATTTTTAATTTATATTTCAAACAGATCTGTTTAAAAGTCTCAACTAAAATGGTGTAAGACTTCAGAAGGAATTAAGATATTGAATCCTTAATTTTGCAGTTCTTAAACTGAGGGGAGGGGGAATGAGGATGCATATAAGAAATAAGAACTAAAATTCTGCTTTAATTGTAAGAGAACAAACTGTTTCAAGTAACTCAGTATTCGTGTTTTAATTTTACTTGGAAGAAATTAATTAGAGCACTGTCAACCTCCTTCCCCCTAAAATTAAAATCTTACAAGTATAATAGAGAAATTTCCTTGAAAGTGATGCTAAAAGATTTCAGATGAAGAATTTTAATATAGATTTATGCATTTGAGCAATGTATTTAAAACACAGTTGAAATGTCATATACAGGTCAAAGGGTAAAATGAAGTATTTTTCAAATAGAAACAAAAGTCAAGAACAGAATTTCATTAAGAGTCGAATATCGAGAATAACAAGACCAAAAAAACTATTCATGCTATGAAAGAAGTTGCAAACAGAAAGAAAGTGCAAGAAATGATACATCAAAACTCATGAATGTGTGTATCACTCGCTGGAAGATCATTCCAGTAACTAGGAACATTAAAATTTTTCCTGCCACTTTGAATATACATACATTTTCAAGCGATAGAATATAAAAAATTCTAGGAGTCAGACTGGCTGATTTCTAACATAATGAAACCTGTCAGGAAAGCTTCAAATTAAAAGCAAGGATTTCGATACTTGTGACTTGATTTAGGAAAAAAAAATGCTGCAGCAAACAGAAGATTCCTAAGAAACTGGAACAGGATTATAATTCTTCAAGAGTGTTTCTCAGTTCTACCACATGGAATTTGTGTCCATTCTAAATTGTTAGTATCAGAAAAAAGCAAAAATTACAATTGTACAGTGAGTTAAGGAGCTGAAGGTAGAAACTGGGGAAGATTATGTAACAATTTACAATTGCCTTTCAAATTTCTTATAATTTAATCAGGTGTACAATAACTATCTTGTCATATTGAAGTCACTGCTAGTAGCAATTTAAATATCACTTTATTCAATATAAAGCTATCAACACATGGTTCAGAAAACAAGACTCTCTATTATTTGAATGATAATGTGAGAGTGGAAATATATGTCAAGTCAGAGATTATACTGTATTTTTAGAGAAGATTAAGAGAAAAATTCCCAGGTAATTTCAATTGAGTGAAATCTTAACATTGAGACTGAGGAGAAAGACCTACTTTGAAGTTGGGGTTCTTTCTCAGAAGGTCCTTGCATCTTCTTGGAATACTGCATGGAAAGTTGCCAGAAGATATTTTAAAGAGTATGTTACTGCCTTTTGAATAGCTAATGCCTTCTAGATTTTTTCTTAAATAAAATATAAAGCTCAGAGTATTCAGCAAAAAGTTTCCCCTACAACTCTGTTAAAAAAGTACATAAAATGAAATAATATATCTAAGAAAAAATAGATAATATATGCTGGCATTACATCAGCTATTCCACTGGGAACCTTTTCTAGCTTTTCTCTAAAAGTGCCTTAGCATTTCTGGGCTATTTTTCTACAAGTTAATTCTGACTTTTTGTAGACTATTTATACTCTTTGTTAATTAGAACAATAATTAGGATTTGATAATCTCTCTCACTCGTGTTAGACCAAGAACATAACTGGTTAGTATAAACTGGACACGAAGACATATTATGCAAATACTAAAGCAAATGTAGTCAAGAAAGATTCCTTTTTAACAGGTCAAATAATTATATTATATAGCCCAGTGGAAAGCATCCCCACTTTGTACTGTTTCTAAACATCAAATCTCCTTATTGCAAATCCTTACATATATCATGACATAACTTAGTCCTATCAGGTAACTTAGTAAAGAAAAAACTATACAGTATAGGAGATCTACACTACTTAAACTTTGTAAGGGGTGAGACCCAATATTCTGATAAAAAATAAAGGAAAGAAACATTTTAAAAATCAAGTATATGGTACTGAATAAGGGTATACTGGAGCCAGATCAAAACATTTTTCTCTTCTTCACATTTTTAATTTTTTGATGGAAGAGTAAGCAGTACATAAACAAGAAAGAGCAAATAATCAGCAGATGGTTAGGATTGCATAAAAATGGCAGTACTAATGTGCAATCAAATTCTAAGGGTAGCATGAGATCAACATAAGCTAGTGGTCAAACAGACAAGGCAGGAAAGAAAGGCAGACATAGCAAACTGACAGAGCAGGATCAATTAGCAGATGCACAAATCTTCAGGACAGCAATTTGATGAAGTCAGCAGATGCATAGTAGCATTGGAAACAGTGAAAAGAGGGAAAAGGTTCAACAAGAGGTAACTGGGAGTATCCATCAATAGTCACATACAAATGGCAGCCAGAGGTCATGGGCAGTATATTAAGTAAATGCTACAATCAAAGATAAAGAGGACCATTTCCAGGCAATCAAGCAGCAAACAGTGCATTGCAATGCCAGGTAGCCAGCAAGTAGGCAAAGCAGAAAGAAAGCAGGGAGAGCCATATCATTTTTCAAAGCAAAGATTGAACAGGGCCATGCCCATGTATGATTAAAAACAGCAGCTGCCAAGGAAGGAAAAAAAGCTCTTGAATAGATGTTGGGGCAGTTGATGACACTACTATTTTGGTAACTAAGACTACTGTAAGTAAAAGAACCCCAGAATCTGGATGGTCTTTTTCTAATAAATAACATTAGGGCAACATAGTTATATGAAAATTCACAAGAATACAGCACACAAATGGAGATGAGGCTGAGCCCTAATGCCTGATGGAGATCTGGGGACCCTCCAATAAACAAAATTAAGAACATGAGACTCCACAAGGAAATTTTAAAAATGAGTATGCATCTAAAATTGTTTTTAATAAATGATGCCAAAATAAAACAAACAAAAATACTAGCAATGAACTGGATTAGAAATCATTGGCTGGGATTGAAGATATTGCTTACCCCTCTCTGGAGCCCACAAAATGGGAATGTTGGGAATTTCTGCAGCAGAAAAACAGAAGAGAAAAAGGGATTTCTGACTCCCAGATTCAAGGAAAAGCAGATCAGTTTAGGGATGATGATGTGCTTACAGAATAATAAGAACTGGTCAGAACCTTTGCTCATTCCCAGATGCAAACATTTTCTGAGATTTGAGAAAAGTTTGAAAACCACAGAGCATTTAGTATTGTAATGTTCCACCTCTACTCACAAAACAACACCACTTACCTGTAATTAATTTTCTTAGAAGAGTTTGCCCCCATATCACCTACACATAGAATGAGGGCAGTATCTCTCAGTGAAAACAAACCCTTCCAAATGAACATTCTGTAGACTGCACCAAATAGTAGAAATATTTTGTAAGCAAACCAATACATTTGATTAAATTCAAATAGACATTTTTGCCTGGCTTACAAAAATGTTTTGCAGTAGCAAATGAGACTTGCTTGCTGCAGCTAGACAATATGGATAACAGGCAACTTCTTTTCATTAAAGAAGATAAGAGATGAACATATTAAGTGTGAACCTTAGAAATGGACCATGGACTCTTAAATTTAATATCACCTAAGTATGATACATTCTTCCTCATTTTAATTTAGAAAGGGAATATGACTGATGATGAATCAGTTAACTTTTTTCAGTGAGGTCTCAGTAAGGTTACTCTTTAAATGATAAATTAATTTGGTGTGTCTTTTCAGAAGAGTGCAAAATTGATTAAAGAAGAAAAATATATTATGCTGGTGTATAGTATTTTGCAAATAATAATAATTTATTAAACTTACATGCTGCCCGATTCTCAATGACTCTGGGCAGTTTGCAACAATCAAATAAAGAAATTACAATAAAACATAAAAGATAAAGATAAAAGATGGTAAGAGTGATGAAGTGAGGGGTCTCCCTCTCCTTCACCGAAGGCCTGGGTGAAGAGTGAATATATATAACTAATAACTAATAGTATAAGCGATCGCTTTTTTCAGGGAATAATTTTTATAATATAGCAAGATGCCACCAAAAGACATAATTCATTTGATATATAAATGTTTATATAAAACACATATAAAAAGTATATTCTTGTCTCAGTTTACATATTAATTAGACTGAAGTATAAAACTATGTACAAATGTACAATGTGGCATTACTGCTTTTGTATAATGATATCATATAGTTCATTTTAAAAAAGCACATTAAGGAAATATAGTTAGTAAAGTTATGTGCACTATATTCCATTAAAGAAAGAATTAAAGTGTGTACCTTGGGTAAATATACGAGGGACAGCAGATTACTGAGAAATGTATTATATTACATATAAAAATCTGAAAAAAGTTTGTGGTGTGCTATATGGCAGGAGATGGCCACAACCATATAGGATTTCCTTCCCACAAGGAGTGGTGCAGTTAAGTAATTTGAGATCCTGGATTTAATAGACTTATAGAGGTTTACGTTTTAGATAGCCACATCACTTTACTTTGGCTGTGAAACACACATTTCTCTTAGCCCCATCCCCCCACCACTTTCATGCTTTACAACATGATCCCTGGTAAATTAAAATTGCAATAACAAAAGGTATTTGCTTTTGTTGCCACACATTTACCAGGCCTTCTTGAGTTGAGGGTCACCACTAATAAATAAACAAATAATTCCAAAAATGTGTCTAAAGAACTAACACTTCAAACATTTAATCATATAATTTGATCATATACATTATTGAAAATAAAATATTTGTTTATCCCCAAATGTCAAGGGTATTCCACATATATTTTACAACACCCTGTGGATTCCAGAATTGCATGGACAGTCAAGAAAACAAACAAATGGATCATCAAACAAATCAACCCAGAATTCTCACTCAAGGCACAAA